TGCTTTCAGTTACCAACTTATCCTAATGTTGAATCATTATAATGTGTATTTTTGTGTACATCAATAAAAACTGCTTCTCTGGATCGAGGCTTAATTGGCTGACCGAAAAATTGTTGCTCAACCAATTATTTGATTGAATTCCAAATCAAATATTGGAATAATCAATTATTTGATCTGACTCTGTCCCACATCATGTACACGTATAATTTGTGAAGTCCAGTTGATTATGTACATGCACATTCATGTCTCCAAATTTTAATCTCCCCTCCCCCATAACAAAATGGTGATGATTGATTTTCAAAATATCCTTATTATGTCTTGTGTAGCTAGCATGTACATGTAGGGTTTTTGTTGGAGGAGATTTGAGCTTTTTATCAAAGCATCTTACGCTGCATCTTACTGCAGCGTAAGATGTTTTGCCACCTTCATGTACTGGTAGAATAGAGGAACACCAAGGGCCTACATGTACATGTGACCTGTAGGCTTCCTTTTTTCCACATTATGTGCAACTAAATGTGCAGACGGCACAGATACATGTACCATGGTCTACTTGTGCCTGTCAGAAACCTGTGTGAATGCTAGTTTCCATGGGCCAACATTTTACTCCCACCTCTACCGTAAATCCTGCACTGGTATGGATAATCATCCATGCTGTTCATCTACACATTTAAATCTTCCACTGTCAGTGTACATGTGGGTAGGGCATTTGTTGTTAAGGTGGATTGTAGCAGAACACCTACAATCCTGGACAAATCTCATTGGGCCTCCAATTACCCCTAGACCCCTTTTCATTGTTGGGTCTATACATGTAGCTAGGATTTTACTGGGGGGTGCACAAAGGGGTGGCCAGCATCTTATGGGGGGCACCAGCTTTCAGTGGCACTGGTATGGTTTTGGGGCAAGTTTTTATTAGCCTTGTCCAATATCCATTCATCTGTTTTTTTTTCAGTGGGGGGGCACCTGGGAGGGTGGTCCCGTGGGCCAGTGGCACTTGAATCTTTCATAAGTTAACAATGAAGAGGTATAGAGCCTGAAAGTAAAAGGTCATGCCGCAAAAGTCACCTGGAAATGGGTAAAAAATGAATTTCATTCAGGACCCTTCATGTCGGGCGATATCATACCTACAGGTCACCTTGGTCATGCACGTTTGTTTTCTCTCCCCATGCTCACGTGAAAATGAGATTGTAAAATGTTCCAAAGACTTACTGACCTGCAGTCGATGGGTTCCATGTTCCGTCAATTTGACATAATACAATTTGTTGTTAGCAAAGGTTAAATAAAATATTAAAATCTTTTGTAAAGTAGATTATTGCTTTATTTTAAATTAGTTACCTTATAAATTGAAAAAGTGTGTAAAATAGTTTGATCTGATTTTATTTCGGCTTTACCGACAGACTACCATAAAATTTCAAACCATAAATGTTCATCTGTGCATGAGACCGCTGCATTGGACTGTTTTTCATGTACATGTATTGTTTTTTCAGGTTTTCAGAAGTGATGGGTCAAGTTTTGGTAGGATATTTCTCTTTTAGGTCAGGTCACTTTTCAGATTATGTAAATTGATGTACTAGCAAAAATTTTCCAAAGCCCTTTTTCCGAGTTGGAGTTTTTGAGAAGTAACTGAACGGAAAAAATATTTAAAATTCTAAAATCTTTGCACGTTATTTTTCCTATCTAAGGGTTCCGGAAGTGCGCTATCAGGGGTCAACTTTCAGGTTCTATTGCCCTTCCGTGATTGCTAACTCCGTGTTGGAAGATTGTTTGGGAGAAAACAAAAATATTGTAGTTTAACAAGTAGTTGTTTGGTGGTAAGGTCGTTGCAGCATTTTGGAAACATTTCACTGCATTAACAGTGGGTTAGGGTTACACATTTAAACAAAAATAGTTCCAAATACATTTACAGGTTTTCCCGAACATGTAAACAGAACCGCCCATTTTAGAGGTTTGGCATTTTGATCGATGCAATCGGGCATTCATTTTTATTGCAAACAATGCCCATTACATACTGTTTTGTTTTCCCTTTTGGGATCCATGTACTTTTTGAGAAAAAAAAAGGGATTCTAAATCTAAAACAATAAACATTGCTCGTTTTAAATGACCCAACGTTAATCTACATTTTTACATTGGTTGGACCATGTGCATTGTTGATCCATGCATATGAAAACACCGAGGTAGGCGGCGGCCTCTGTAAAGTGTTGGCTAATTGTTTAAATGGTATGGGAAAGTTTTTGTGATTGATTTCAAATTAAACGTAAATTCCCATCCTGACAATGCATGCTATTTTTAAGTTAATCTTTAGATTCAAATCTCGGACCTGACATTAATCCTAAAACTTGTATGAAGAATTTTCAATTATTCACTTACAATTTTTCTCTTAAACGACATTTTGCTCATACACTGCAGACATTAAGTTCTTTCAGACTTCGGTGGATCAACAGCTTTTATCTAGTTTGGACCAGTACGAGCTGGTTTATGCCAGTTTCCCAGAAGATAATGATTTTACAAGACAGCAAGAGGAACACTTTTATATTGTGAGTGCATTCTATGTTTGTGTTTTAATTTGGGGTAAAAATGGATATATTTATTAGAAAAATGTCAAAGAGGCACAGTATAATAGTGGCATGATGTATGTGCTAAGGAATCTGCTTCAGACTTTGTTTCTGCTGACCCATTTCTGGGTTTTTCCACCCACGTTTTGTATTTCCAGGAAAGCAGTACCAAACACATCAAAGTAGAAGGAAGCCATACTCAGTTTACTCTAGATCTACAACTTAACAGGTAACATTGTTGTAACAGGGGGATATTATACATGTACAGGTCTACATGTGTAGGCCCCTGTATGTTTCAAACCCGAAGCTAAGCAATGCGAGACACGAGAACTCATGTACATGTACATGTATGCTGAACCACACGATCATGGAAACAATTCCAACAGTGCGTACTCACATACAGCATAGAAAAATATGCCGGAACTATGGAATTTTGGCAGTATGACACTGTAAAAAACCACCGCACTTGTGGTTTCATTTAGAGTTGAAAGTTGTCATAGCAACCATTTGTGCTTCATTTATCTCTCGTCCTGTTGATACTTCATGTGGTAGTTTGTTGTTTTGGTTTTTCACACCATCCATTATTGACCCCGGGTCTGGTTTACGAGATGCACATGGAATTTAGACTACAGGTGTTCATCAGTTTCAGGACAGTTCCCTCTATCAAGATTTTCATGAATCAACTACATGTTCATGTATAATCCTTCATGGTGCAATATTGATGTCAAATTGCCTAAGCCCTAGACTGTATCTAAAACTGGCATTATTGTCTTTGGTTTCATTCATTCTCCATAGCATGTGTTACTGGCAAGAGTAAAAGTCATAGCCTCTTGATACTAAATTGTAGACATCAATAAATGGTCTCTGTCCATTACAGTCAAGCAAAAGTTGGTGTTGGGCTTCAATTTAGGAAGTAATTTTGAAGGGATGAAGTTAGATGAAGAATATGTCTTGTGGTTAATAGTTTCATGCAGGAGGAAGTTTTATACTATTGTGCCAATTAAAGATTTCATTTCATTTGCATGATATTTGCATGCGTGCTTTGGTTCGTGGTAACTGCATGCAGAGACTTAACTCGGGCTGGAGTCAGATTAAAACACTTCACCAAAGATGGAGTCTTTGATGATATTCAGGTAATCCGTTGCAAGATTTCCTTCTATAAATCTTAACCCCCTAGGGTGTATGTAAAATCACATTGAAATCCGAGGATTTGAAACTGTTAGGGTTAACCCTAACAGTATTTAATCTTCCGATTTCAATATACATGTAAATCCTAACCAAAAAGTCATTGACACTGTCCATATTCTACAGTTTTTCATCTTCAATAATAGATATTACGTTCATAAAAGCAAAACCTTTACAATTGTAATGGCATACACACTCATGGAAAAAAGAAATGCACCAGTGATTTTATTTTAGTTTTAACCCAAATTTTTTAAATGAAATGTATGTGTTAGAATCCCACATATAGCCTCCTTTACATTTTATCTCAGTAATCTTATCTTTGTTTCATTTTTAATAACCAAAAAAAAAAAGTTAGCACCACTGCTCACAAAAGTTGCAGTTACAGTTCAATAATTAACATGACCTCCATTCGCTTCAAGAACAGCTGTAATTTGTCACCTCATGGATCAACAGTAATGTGGCAGCTGGTCCGGTGGGATAACAGCCCACTCTTCCCCCAGTGCTGCCCTCAGCTGCTGTTGTGTGTCTGGAGGATGATCTTGTTGTCGGATGTGACAACTGAGCAAGTCCCACACATTCTCGATGGGGTTCAAATCCGGACTTAGAGCTGGCCATGGCAACATCTCAACATCGTGCTCCTCCAGGAAGTTGGCACACAAACAAGCCACATTGGGACAGGCATTGTCCTGTTGGAACACAGCATGACCCCCAACTCACTCCAGTAAGGGCAGTGGTAGTCTTGTCGTGGTAGCTGGTAGCATTGAGGTTTCCTTCAGTGAAAACCAAGTTGATAGGTCTGTATGCCAGCCCAAACCATCACATTTGGGCCACCCCAGCGGTTGACTTGGCAAACACAAGCATCAGCATACCGCCTGTGGCGTCTCCTGTCACACCCGCTACTTGCCATCGACCCTGAAGCACTGGAACCACTTCTCCTCACTAAAGACCACCTGCGACCATCTCTGCATCTGTGTGCTGTGCACCACTAGACCCGAGCCTGACGATGTCAGCGTGTCAGCACTGAGCCCATGTATGGTTGTTATGGTCTGAAACCATCAGCCTGGACACTATTCCTTATGGTTCTTGCACTCACTTGCCTGTGGTCTCTCCCTATATGTCTCAGCGGCAGTGCGTGTAGCATGCAGGAACCTGTCATGGAGGTGGGACTGCCGGTTGGCTCAGTCTTATTCAGCAGTTGTGACCTCCCGGCCTGCCAGCTTGGGGGCGATCTGCGGAGGTGCCGGTAGTGTTGTAGCACTGTTCAAGATGCACAGTCGTTATGTGGTGGACCCGAAACAGCCTGGCCACTGCCCGTCAGTTCCGTCTGGCTTGGAGCATGCCAATGGCTCTGTGTCTCTCAGGTTATGACATTATGGATACAAGTGTTTTTGTCATCATTTTGGTGTCTTTTTATAAGCAAGGGTTGTGTTCAGGACATGAATGGTCAAATGCATCTGGGAGGCACTCATGTGTAACCATTAGCATAAAATGCAAAAACACAGTTTTTGGCACTCACCCAAAGCACTCAACTGGAACGTGATAAATGCACATTGATGTTTATCTCTAAATACTGAATCTAGAACTTGCTCCATTTTTACAATGCCGGTCCTACTTCCTAAAAATATGAGAATGTTTACGTGGTGTGTTTCTTTTTTCCTTGAGTGTAATTAATAGTATCTGCTTGATTTTCCAATTAGTTTCTTATTAAACTGCAACATTCACCTGTCCATGTACAGTACATGTCCATGTAAGACAAAAATGAGGAGGTTATACCTTTACTTACAGCTCACCATTTTGTCTTCATATTGTTTAAGTACAAGTATTTTGTACTGATACATTGATTTGAATGAGCTGTGGAGGCAATTCTGACAAGAACTTCTTCGAAATATTTTCTTCTAAACAGCGGCCTAGCTGCCATTATCAGGGTGTGGTCAGAGGCACGGCTAAATCGAAAGTTAGTCTTAGCACATGCAATGGCATCAGGTAAGAGACAAACAGATCTACATGTATGCACACATTCTTTGTACTTTTGTAGACTTTTGAAAGACAAAAATAGCAATTGAAATAATCTTTTAAAAGTGATGGTAATGGTCAACCATTCATTATAAAAATCTTTGCATTAAGGATGAACAGTTCTACAAGTTTCAGATTTCAGCAGTAGCATGTGCATGTGAGAGTGCACTGTACATGTACATCTCAATTCCTTTGTCGTAAGTTGACGTACACGTACAGTGAAAATGTCTCTAAGTTCCCTCAGTATTTCACGTTGAATTTGAATCAGTTTCAGTAATTTTTTCATACGTGAGAATGAGACTGTATATTTGATGTCTGATTTGTACTGTTTGTGAAACTGCAGAGGGTTCATTGTGACTGAAGGAGATCATTTTATCATCAAGCCTCTTTCATCGTCAGGTAATCAGGTAAGATTGTCACCTTTATATGATCCACACACCATATTCTTAAATGATGGAACCACCGACTTTGTGCCTCCTTGTATGTGAAGTCTATTCAGAGCACTCCCTTTTAATAAGTGACAACTGTGAAATGCAGAAAGGGGGTATTTTTTTCATGGTAAGTTAGTACCATACAAACATTTACTGCATGTCAACAATTGTTGTAAACAGAGATTCCATCCAGTCAGTAAGTCAAGCCGGCTAAATGGTTTCTATGGAATTACCATTTTTATAATTTGCACCAAGAAAGAAAACGAAACCTAGGAAAGACTGGCTGAAATGCACCTGTAGGGTGGTCAGACTCATAAAAACCTTTCTGAAATCAAAAGTAACAAAATATATTCAGTTCATCCTGGTCATTTGGTCCACACATTATTGTGAAAATATTGAGTTCCCTTGTAAGATACCATACAGGAACAGTGGAGAAGGATCATATTACATAATGTAGGCCATAGGGTCTGCCTTAATCAACACAATACCTCATTGGTTCTGGATGTTTGGTCACCCCATTCACCCCCCCCCCATATGGGAGAAATGAATAATGTGACAAAGTGTTCCTTTGAAAACACCGTTTCTAGTTCTTGAACAACTTCAATAAATTTCTTGAAACACCGTACAAGTTCTTAAGATGTACATGTACCTCCTGAGTTCAGTATTCATTGCTGAAGATTTTGGTTGCTAGTTCTGGAGGATTATTGTGGCAGATCTGAATTTAACTCACATCTGTATATCTTTCACACAGAACCATGCAAAGTTATATAAAGTAATATAATTCACCTTTGCACAATGACATTTTAAACATGTCCCAATCAAAATGAAAATGCTTAAATGCTGAAGAACTAGAATTTTGAATTTAAAGTACTACATGCATTCCACAAAAATTAGTTGTGTGTTGAGATCATGACAACTATTTGTTCTGCAATATTTAGGAGCTTGTCAAAAGGATTGTAGATAAGATTGTTATTAAAGGAGAAACATTTGGAATTCAGCATCTTTTTTTCTGCAGAACTCTAATATTTGAAGTATGTTAATTCTGTTCCTACCAAATGTTGGATGTGTGAAAAGTCACTACATTATCCCTGAAAATCCCATTTATCGACTTCATTATTTCCATTTCAGACAAGGCAACTTCATGTTCTTTATAGAGTCAATTCAGAAAAAGAAGACCAAGGTATGAATTACATTTTAGAAACATTTTACATTTTTAAAGGTATAACAACTCACCTGTTGAAATATTTGCCACTTTTTACATGTACATAAAACTTCATGAATATTAAATCTGTTGTCTTTATACTTACATGTATATGTAAGGACTCTACTTGTACCAGACCCAGAGTTAAAAGTTTTCAAAACTTGTTTTGAAATATGGTCATGCACAAATTCAAAAAAGAAAATGATATAATACATGTTTTTCTGGCATATGGGGCTGTTCATCAAACTTCTGTTTGTTGCATTTGTCAAGGTGAATCTGATGCATTGATTGATCCTGATGCAGCAGAGGAGAAGTTGCTGTCTAATGAAGAGTTGCTGAATAGAGCTGTTAAAGTCCATCATAGAAGGGTGAGTATAAAAGCCAAGACAGAGAACTACGTTTTAACCCTAAAAGAGCGGAGGGGGGGGCAGAATCCAATATGTTTTCTGACATCACCGCAGTGCATTTCTTTGAGAAGTTGAGCATTTCATATCTTTTAGAGTAACTCTTTGCAGTCATTTTGACACCATTTTTGAAAAAATCGGACGTAGTGTTCTCACACCACACATTTGTGATGTGATCTGTGGTGAGCTTTGTCCTTATGGTGCATATCAACTTCAAATTGACCTGGATACTGTCCTGTTTTCAAAACTGTAATTCGTAATTCTAGACAGCCATTCATGTTGTATACAACCGAGAATATATTCCATAAATGGAATATATCTGAAAACAAGCGTGTGGCCATATTAAGTGGAAGCTTATATGCATGCAGATAATAAAGGGTTTTCACAGATCACATCACATTTTTCCTCAAGTTGTCAGCCAAAATGTATACTTTTTCCACTGCGGTTCTCCAGGCACGAGCACTGGCAGGCATGTAGCTATGAACGTCAAATAACCATAACAACAAAAACATATGGCCGATTGAATTCAAAATTCACATGCTAATGATAAGGAGTGTCTGCATACGCATGCCAAGTTCCGAACAAAATGGGCATGGCACAGCCAAGCCCTTGGGGGGGAAGTGGCAGAATTCCCCACCCCCAGCTTTGAGATGGTTCAAAAGAGCCCTGCTCTTTGAGAGTTAAATGAGGAAAAAGCAAACAAACTGGGCTTGAAAGTTGTGGGTTGTAGACAGAAAATTGCTAATGTTGGTTAATTTTTTGTGGCAGGCAAGAAGAGATGTCGAATCAGAAATCAAGTATCTTGAGATGGCCATCTTCTGCTCAGCTACCATGGTAACTTCTGCAGTTTTTCCCTCAGAAACTGAGTTTTTGCTCAGTTTGTGATTCATAACAAATTATTATTGAAGTGCTTGGAATTCGTCACTTTTACTTGAAAGATGAAATGCTGTATTTTTGATACCTTTTATCATTAAACCAGGATTCTTTCAGGCATTCAAGTATTCTTTCACATTCTGTAAACTTTCTGCTGTGTACTTCAACTTTGTAGATATCTTAAACATCCTGTGCTTTCAGACACACTCTAGCCTCCACTTACAATATTTCATCTGCTGCTGACCAGAAGGGTATCATTATTAAGCCATCTCTTACATCATGAGTTGCATGGAAACAAATTGCCGAAATATCCTTCACCCAGGCACAGGATGAATTGAAGCTGAAGTGATATGTTGGTGTAATTTTATTTTACAGATAAGTACGATGAATTGAAGCTGAAGTGATATGTTGGTGTAATTTTTCTTACAAATAAGTACAATGAATTGAAGCTGAAGTGATATGTTGGTGTCATTTTATTTTACAGATAAGTAGATATGGAGGCATCAATTCAGCCTTTGTACGAGCATTGGACATTGTCAACCAAGCTGACCTGGTAAGCTGAGCCGTCTACTGTTCTGTTTTTCACATTGATCTAGTTTTAATTTTTTGGGGGGGGTGTGGAGCTGGATGGTTAAAAGATTTGTAACTTGAAAGGCTCTGCTCTGCAGAGTATATTGTCCATGAAATTCGAATCCTACATTCCTTTACAAAATAAATGTCTGGAATTTAAGCACATTTAGGATGATCCTAAAAAATGCCAGTAGCTGCAAAACAATTTTGTCAACAAAAAATTCCAAAAAATTGAATTTTGATTTTGGAAAATGTATGTAAATTTTAATTGAATTTTCCCACATACTTATCCTGAAGGCAGGTACTTGGAGTGACATTGACCCACACCTCTCCATATTGGACCACAACTGTCCCAACTCACCCTTTGTTCAATTTTCCACCCACAGTATTTCAAACCAATGGATGTTCGTCTCGTTACAACTTACATTGAGCTCTGGGATGGAGGCAATGAACGCATCACCATCGCGGACAATCTCCATGTCACCTTAGAGAACTTTTATCAGTATGTAGAGGCAAATGTCTCGGACACAGTGCGGTTTGATGCTGCCCACTTGGTGCTGTAAGTCCCTATTTTTATTACCCTCTATGGCTGCATCTGAATTTGTTGTCTAGGGCTAGATCTAGGTCTTCACTCCATTAGAGATTCATGAAGACGCGCATACAATAGACCTAGCCATAGCTCAGGAAGCCAGTTTCGGACATGGCCTAATATACTTCTGAAGTCCATAGATGGAATGGGATGATACCATCCCATCGAATAGCCAACACACAAGCATGAAGACTCCCAACTTCAGTTAGACATCGAGCACTTAAATAACTCCAGTGTCATTTTTTAACATGCAGTTTTTTAATCTTGTCATACAGGGGAACCAGTGTCATAAGTTCTTTATCTTACTATGGCACTAGCAAGCAGAACTCTATCTGTACTAGGAAAGCTGTTTCCTTGTCGCAGGTGATTTTTTAATCTATACGTTGTTTTACATTTTAAACCTGATAATAATTGAAATACTTTGCAGTGATAACATTTGTCTTGCTATGAGGCATTTGGGGCAAATTTCATAGAGCTGCGTAAACACAAAATTTGCTTAAGCGCTAAAAACTTGATTAAAAAAACAAAGGTTACCAACTCAAAATCTATGTGATTGGTATGCTAACCAAAAGACAGGTGAATACCATTCCAAAACTATATACTTCACATGGAATTTTGGCTGGTAACCTGATTTGTCAAGCAAGGTCTTTTCACGCTCAAGCAAATTTTGGGCTTAAGCAGCTCTATGAAATTGGCCCCTGTTCATAAATATACTCCCATTTATCAAAATTGCTCCAACCTTTTGGATTCACTATTATTTTTCTCTTCTTGTCCACTCCAGGATTTCTCAGATTCATTGACACCTGCCATTTTGGCTCATGACGTCGGTCATAATTTGTATATCTACAATGATGACTTCTACACAAGAGGCTCCAAAGGTATAGTCACAAGTGTTGCTCCTTTCGTTTTAATCATTTTTTTAAAGGGCTGAATAACCTTCTGAATTGTAATAAAACTATGCTTTACTACATTTTGTGAACTTTCATAATTTAGCATGTTTAGGGTAAAGTGTATGCAGCAGACTTTAACTGAACAAAGAAAATGTGGCCTAGGTAACTGAAGCAATGTCTACTTCTGAATTCCCCTTGAAGAGCTCATTAGTGTAAATTTTAGGATGAATCTTAAATTTATGGACCTGTTAGGCAATTATCTCCTGAACATAATTAGCTGAGAAGAGGCTGAAGATACTTTGTCTTAATTATCTGGCTGGTAACTGGGTTCCTGTAAAATATTTCTGTGTTTGTCAGGAGCATTGCACTTACAAAGGCCATTATTTTCAGCTTGAATGTAGTAGCTTTGAATATTCACTTGTGTTTTCCCCTTAGCATGCGCTTGTGTCGGCAAAGCATCAAGTTGTGTGATGTATCAGCAACCAGTGTGAGTCTTCTTGTGTAAAGATTTCTACAAATAAGTTGCATCATACCTACATGTATCATCTCACACTATAATATAGTTTTCACTTTTCAGAGCTGTTTGTATTTTCTTGAGAGATGTTGCTTTTATAGTCAACAACAAGCAAGAATCTCTAGCTCATTCTGTTGGGTTTGGAGAGTTGTTAGGGGGTCATGTAGCCTTGGTCATGGTCAAGGCATTTGTCATTCGTCACCAGCTGCTTGAAATCAAAGTGAAGAGCAACCTCAGGTGGTCTGCGGAATATGGAAATCAGCTGAACCAGGACAAACGCCCTGCTGCAACTGTCCAAGGAGGAAGTATTAGGCGGTCCTCATTATGCTAATGACGAGAGCTGATGTTTTAAATAGGCTTTTGGATTGATTCACATTAGTAGGTGCATAATTCAAGTTGGTCGTAGGGTGAAAAGTTAACTGGACACACATGTGGCTATATACATACATGTACATATACACGACAAGTCAACAGTATAAATTTTGCTAGCTGTCCAGAGTAATCGGAGATCAAGTTCGCCATTGCTTTGCTTTACTGTTTGTGATTGATTTTTTTCCAACAATTTAAGTTGGTGGACAATGCTATCTGGCTTCATCGGTTGCAATACAGACTTGGTTGGTGACCACCAGTTTTGCATTGACTAATGCTATGGGCTTTTATATCTTGTCTGAAGAGCTTCGAGCAGAAAGGTGCAGCCTGGAAAATAACAGATTTCCCGTTGCCTTTTGGCAAATTCTCGAAAACGTTGAGACCCCACAGAAAGTATTCTAAGGTTTGCCGCTGCTCGGCACGAAAATCACCCAACATTAATTTATCTGCAGCAGAATTGAGGCAAACAAGATAACTCGTCGTGCTACAGTTGTCTTAGAAGGTCTGCCATTTTACACTGTTATCATGCATGCCAGTTCACGTTGATGCATTATGCATAGGCTGTATATATACTTAGCTGCGATTGGTCACTGTGCGCACATCGCATGCCTGCATCTATTCATATTTGCATATGAGGCTGTGCACTAGAAATCTACGGCAAAAGTAAAGAAAAACATAAGCTTCAGTGGACAGTTGCACCAAGGCGTTCGTCCTGATTCAGCTGATTTGCGTATTTCTTAGACCACGTCAGGTCGCTTTTCGTCTTGATTTCGAGCAGCTGGTGCGCGCTGCGCTGAGACGAATGACGAACACCTTGACCAAGGCTAGTATCATGAGATTTTTCAGTGGTCATTGAAAAATCTGATTTGGTGTTAGAGCTTCGAAAACATCTAAGGATGGGTTTATGGTTTTTTGTGCATCTGGCTTCAGGTTCTAGAGCGAATTGATGCTAGACTCAATGAATGGTCTTTCTTGTAGGAATTGGGATCCTAAACCTCCAACTGAGTTCTCTGAATGCAGCATTGAAGCATTTGAGGATCATCTCAGAGCCGGATTCTATCCATGTCTCTTCAATGTACCCCAGCCAGATGAGGTACCAAATACAAAACTTCGGTTTCATTCTTGCAAAAGAACTGTTATACCACTATCTTTAAAATGTTATGACTTCTTCTGTTGCTTTTACTTCATGCTAGCTTGACTTTACTTTTAGCACTGTGTGCAAATATGCCTTTGGAAGTGTCTGCTGTTGTCTGGAAATGTAGTCTTGGAATTGTTGTTTGCCATTTTAGCTGGTGACCTTCAGAACTTGTGGTAATGGAATTGTGGAACCGTCAGAGACATGTGACTGCGGAACGCCAGAGGTAAGAAAATTAATTGGATATATTAGAGTTGTTTTACCCGGTAGAGAGGATTAATGCAATTTGAGGATTTTAGATGGGTAGGAGAAAATGATTCTGGAAGATTCATACGCCGTCAGCCTTAATGCTTCGGGATGACAGATATTTGACAGAATTCGAATTGGTCTGTGTATTCCAGGAATGTGTTGATAACCCCTGTTGTGATCCCATAACCTGTCTGCTGACTTCTGGAAGCCAGTGTGATCAAGGAGAATGCTGCAGTAATTGTCAGGTAAAAAGGATAAATTCAAGTAAACCCCACTTCAGATAAATACTCCAATGGTATGTGGTAAAATTAGAAGGTGTATGAAAGACAAGATTTGAATGTTTCCACAGTGAAGGAAGTAACATTGTTCAACCAAGACAGACCTCTTATACGAGTCGTAGGGAAAGTAAGTCATGGAACTTGCAGCATCATCAAGATTAATGCAGAACTTTGATAAAATTGTATCAGCAACTTGGCATGTGAGTATAGGCAGTCTTAAAACCAGCCAGTGATTTTCCTAAATCATATTTGTTGCTTGTATTTAATGAAAAAACAAGTACTTCCTTTCATGTTTTGTTTTAATAGTTCCTGCCTGCTACAACATTGTGTAGAGAGAGGATAAATGAATGTGACATCCCTGAGATGTGTTCTGGCACCCTTGGCAGTGTAAGTATGACCTTGTTATTACCCTAAGTTTTACAACTTCTGCCTCTTTGCTTTGGGGGTGTGTCATTCCAACTGTTGTCAGCTCTTCGTGTGTTTGAAAGGTTGGGAAAATTCTCTACATACCACAGGAATTTTGTCATAGACTTGTATTTAAATAATATTGCATAACGAGAAAAACTTGGAAATCCTTGGAAATCCAGAAGCGCATGTACATTGCAGCCCACCTTTAGGTTTTTTTTGCGGTGAACAGAAATGGGGGAGTGTGGCCTATACATGTAACTGGTTGGTTCTTGTGGGTTTGTGACTCCTGATTAGAGGCTCAGGCGTTCCAATTCAGCTGCTGGCCATATGGTTAGCCACCTTACCCCTACTTACCACCTCTACCCAGGAGTATGGGTGTCGGCACTAGCTGAGGAGTAACCTGTGATGGATCGGCATCACACCCAAAGAGGAATCAACATATTTGTTTGGTTCTAATGAAACTGGAGCTAAATGTTAACCTGATGGGATACCTTTGGCTCATGACAGACTTGGCTTTCTTTTGCCAGACAGCTTCCATTGCTAACCCTTACTGTCTTTTGAAATGCCTTGGGGTGTGGCAGAACCAGCTTATATAAGGAGATGTCTTAAGGATGTACTACCTACATGTAGTTGTATGGAACTTTTAACATCCATCCAGCCATCCGTTTTTTTTTCTGCAGTGTCCTAACAACATCTTCATGCAAGACGGTACGCCATGTAAAAATGAGACTGTGAGTTCTTGCTACAGTTTTAAATTTTTAAGCTCATATGAGACCCCGTTAATACAAATACAGTATGAATTTTTTCATGTTATCAATTTTTTTCATGGTTTTAAACTTTTTTATCTATATTCCTTTTCAATGGAATGATGATTTGTTTCTGTAAAGGGGTATTGCTACAATGGACATTGCCCAACAAGAGACAATCAGTGTGAGGACATTTGGGTAACAGGTATGTACTGTTTGAGGACTGGCATGCATTTTGGTTTTAAAATTTTCCCTTTACAACAAACCTGTGTAAAACAAGTTCTGTAAATCTCGTTTATGAGTGGAAAGCCACACATAAATTTTTCATTTCAGTTTTCAGCATAAGTTTCAACCTCTGAAGCTAGATGTACCTGTAGCTCCTTAGAATTCCTTCCATCCCTGAAATGATCTCCAAACTATTTTCCCAAAAATAAAAATAAATTTTTTTCACTGTTAACAACAGCTTTAGAAATAGTTCACAAAATTCCTTCTTGTTATTCAATCCTCCATTCATAACAGAAATTAATTCCCCACATATATCAGTCAGTGTCATTACCGCACTTGTTGATTGCAAAACCTTATTTTAACTACAAATCCTTGATAATGTTTTCAAGGTGCTACATCTGCTGAAGTGTGCCTGCCTCTTAATAACTTAGCTGCTTTCCCGTTTGGTCATTGTGGCTACACCATTGGTGACCAGCTCTTGTATTCGGACTGCTCAAGTGCAGAGTAAGTTTCCAACCCCAAACGTTGAGAAATTCCTTGAATTATAGAAAGATAGGTTTGAATGTAGATAGAATTTTTAAATATGGTTGGAAATGTTTGGAGTGAACCCAATATGCTTGATTGAGTTTCTTGTTTTGCTTGACAGGGCAAGCACTATTGCTCAAGCAAAGTGTGGTCTTCTACACTGTAAAAATACTGCGTTTTCCTTCTTTCCTTACGGCATATCGCCACGAGGAAACACCTTCGGAGAATACTGTGTGTGAGTAAACCCAAAAGACCAATATTTTTATTATTGAACCTCGTTTTTTCAGCCCCCAACATGGTAATTTAGCCATTAAGCCCATGCCATGGTGTTTTGACCAGTCACTTTCGTAATTATGCCGCATTAAAGTGCATGACAAATGACTGACAGGTGTTACACATGTCCCTGGACTATCTGTAGTACAGCATTAGGACCATGCTATTTTACCGTGTCTGCAGTAGGTGGAACTGAATGGATTATTCTATTAAACAAGCACAGTAGTTGTTGGGGCTGTAGAGGTTTTTACATTACATGATGGGCAAAGGCATTATCAGGATGAGTACCTTGTCCATGGAGGTGTGTGCATTTTTGAATCTGTCTACATGTATTTCTGTTGGCAGTTTCATTTATGCCAAAATGTTGACAGGTTTCAAAGGCACACGTGGTCCATGCACATCTGTGTAAATTTAGTGCTGATCATCAAAATCACATGACTGAAAGTCCTTTACAGCACTGCTTTTAGAAATTGTAGATCAGTTTGTGGAGATGGACCTTTCTTCTCTGTCTTTCTATCCATTCAGGGCACTTTGGGTTTTGGATCTTAGCCAAGCTGATGCTGTCAATCCTTCAGATGTGGTTGATGGTACAAAGTGCGATGATGGAATGGTAGGATACTGACGGGTTAATAGTAGTAGTTGTATTGTTTGGTTCTTGCAGTGTTCAGTACCTACAAGTATTTTAGCAGCCACTCAGTGAAGTCTGGCTGTGGCTGAGTGGTTGTATGTCTGCCGTAGTCAGCAGAGAGGGTCTTTGAATCTAACCAGAGCAATTTACCGTAACCATTTGAAGAACAAACATTTTTAATAGAAAATACTTAACCCTAACAGTCCACAATCCTCCAATTTTAACACCCTACATGTAGGGTTTTAGGGTTAATTAATGTTAGAGTTGATGTTCATATGTATTGGCAATCATTCATATCCTCAAATACCAGAATCCAAGAAATGTATAGACAAATGACATTTAGTTAGGTCTGAAGCTTTCTTATTCCAGAAAAGTGGGATTTGCAGCTTTTGAATAGTAATTATGAAGACCCAAAATATTGCGAGGACATGCCAGCCTGTATTCCGAGGTTGCAATTATTTCCAATCATGACTCTTTTTGCAGAGCCAAACAGCATCTAGAGGTTCCTCATTTATAGTGAGGTGTCATCAATCTGCATAACAACCTTGCAGGAGGGTGGCTAATCCTTTCACGTGTTTCTCCTTTATCAACAGGTTTGCATGGGTTTCAATTGTGTTTCTTTGGAGTCTATTGGTCTACCACCCTGCCCGACCAACGTAGAGGGTGCTGTCTGTTCAGGCAACGGGGTAAGTGTCTTTTGAACAAAAGCAGGTTTTAAGTAAATAAGGATGGATATAGAGAAATTTGTTCAGATTCACTTTGGTTGAAATGTGTCTCATTTGGACACAGATTAATTTAAAACAGATCATACAGGGCATTTTTTTAAAGTAAAGGAGTTGAAATGCTTGGAAAACTATACTTGGTGTCCTGATGTTTTCATCAAATGTAAAATTGTAACATTCCAAAATTCTTTTAACACAAGCCATCTCCTATACGACAGCTTATCCATGCGGGGAGTTCACATTTGTTCAATTTCACCTTCTTGAGTAAAATGAGATTATTATCGAGCTTAAAATCCTCAACATGCTGCCAGGACTCACAAATGTAGAATAGCATTAACAAACTCCAATTACTGATGAACAGCATTTTCTGTTTCAAAGTGAGGACTTTGCATTCTCAAGTGTTCGAGAATTTTGGTTCTGCTGTGGTGAAGATGTATTTCATGTTTCTTTCCTCCAGGTGTGCACAAATGAGAATCAGTGTCTTTGCGATCAAGACTGGACGGGTGATTCCTGCAATGAAACTGCAACTGTCTTTACAACGTTTGTGGTGCCAACTACAAATTCAACATTTCCTACGCCCCCACCCAGCATCCCACCCCTGTACCCGACTCCGGAAACAAACATGACCACTCCTACAACCCCATTAACAAATGCAACCTTCCTTCCACCACCACCCAGCATCCCACCCCCATATCCTACTCCCGGAACCAATGTGACCACACCTACATCCCCATCAACAAATGCAACCTTCCCTCCACCACCACCCAGCATCCCACCCCCATATCCTACTCCTGGAACCAACA